GAGTCGCGCGGGAAAGTAATAGTTTGTACACACCAATTTAATTCGATGAGACCTTTCATTAGAATACCATGAAAGGTAGAACGTGTGTTTACCTCTCCCCCCCCTCCCCCCGTTTACAAAAGTTTTACTTGGCACCACTAAAGGCATGCGTATACAAAATCTCAAACCAATTGGTTTTCGTATATGTAAAAGTTATGCACGTTGTACTATCAAAAACAGCATTTCAGGAAATAATGAATGGGGGGGGGGGGGGAGGGCTTAAAACGGAGAAATATGATGGCAGCCTGGCACACCTTCAAGATATAGGCTACCTATTCCAGAACTCTAGTACCATTTCCCTAAACGTAGTTCAAAACGGTAAAAGTGGGTCCGTACGGACGGACGGGCGGACAAAACGCAAACAATAACACATTTTTTGTTAATTCTTAAAAAATACGCTATAAATGTCACAAACTATTTTTTTTAATAGGATTTAATTGCCACTCCCTGTTAAAAAAGTGCAAATCCAGTTCACCCTACGTTCTTTGAGCATGACCACTCCAGCACACCTCTTGTGGTTAGGGACTCTTCGGTTCCTTGAAATATATGTATTTTCAAACGTCCATACCGAGTTTCAACTACTTCGCAATTTTCTTGTCTATTTTGGACAATTTTCCTGTACTAGTAGGGCAATGCGCGTCAAGCCATGATAGGATTTGCGTCGAGCAGTTAAAAAAGTTTATGTCAATCGTCTGTAAGCTTGCTCGATTGGGTATATATATAAAAAGGAAATTAGTTGTGAAGCGGAAGTTTTAAGACGCTCGGAATTGAATATTGTGTTCTTAGAATCTAGAAGAGTGGACTAAAAATAAACTGCACAGCGTAATCAGCCGCTCAACTGCGACTATTTGGGCGCACTTTTTAATGACATTTTTTGATTACCGGCTGATTGCGTAATTGTGTGTAATCGCGTGGAAATTCCAAAGTCAGACTCGCATTCATGTACGAGGTCCAGGATTTACCCTACGTTTTCTCATCATTACTTTTGGGATCAAGAAAGCAGACTAGCAAGTATCTCTACTTGGACGTGCCTTAACATTATTTCAGAATCAAAATTTAATAGTACCAGCAGGTATTTGCAGCCTTGAACTTGTAACTTCTCGTTACAACCACAATTGAAGGACCGTAACAAATTGTACAAGATGTACTGAAAGAATTGAATTGGTAATTTAGAACACAATTCGCATGAGTTTCTTATTTAGACTGATCTCATTGGACACCCTGTACTATAGTTGAATTTGGAATTTGTTTGGGATTCTGTTTCCTTTTAAAACTCTCCAATGAAGTTCTTTCACTGTAAGACAAATATTGGCAAACATTAATAACTTATTCAAGAGCTCCTATTGATTTTAAAAGCCAATCATTTCGGTAATGATTTAAAAGCATCGGTGGAACTATGTAATAAATGTGTAATGGGATTATCCTAGAGAGCAATCGATACACATTAAGTGCAGAAACTTGGAAAATCTTCCGAGCGAGGCTCGAGATTCTCGTTCCTCAAATCCCGAGGGTAATTAATCAAAGTCACAGTGGTAAATCGCCTTTTCACTTTTAAAAGAATTATCTAATTGTTCATACGATCATCAATCACCTATATACAAAAATATGGCCAAATTAAGTTGTTAAGACAATGCCATTTTTCCAGAATAACGCGGGGTTATGTATGTATGTCATAAAACGGCGAGACCGAGATGTGCGCGTTTGATAACAATTCTACTAGATAATTTTCTTTTTTTTTTTTCTCGAAGCGAAAAGCGGTTGAACCGCTGTCTCCTAAATAGAAAGCGTCGTACTAAATCTGGTAAGCGAAACGCTTTGATCTTTCATGACGACCTTCTATCTCTCTCTGTCGAAAACGTTCCCGAGTAGTCCGACTGTCAACACTATGCGACGTGTTTTCCGGCTGCTAGAATATTGAACATAATTCACTTGCAGTGGCTAATTTCCTTTTCTCGTCCGAGTTCGTTTAAAATTCTATCGATTTCTCTTTGTTAAACTGTCACATGTATGTCCATCACATTTACAGTTGTGTCTTTTCTTGTATTTATTGTAAAGAACTGATCTTTTGAGCGTTGTCTTTTTGCGGATCTATTTTTTCACTTGCACAACGCTTAATCTTTCCCTTATGATTTTGTGATGAGGAAATCCCTAGAAGAGGGTTACAAGAAAATATGTAGGCGTTGAAGAGTGTAGGTATTAAAGGCCAGTGGGGAATAGGACACTTGCCGAGTGACAACGTTACTTGCTGGAGAATATGCCCAGTTTGAGTACGCAAGTTAAAACACACCCTTCGTTTACTTCCTATCTGGCAAACAGTGGACCAATTTTTATAGTACTGAAACGAGTGTTGATTTTGGTATGGTTCGACAGCTTACGAAAACTAAACAATGCTTTTCATTGTAATTCCTTGCCTTTGTACGATTTCAATTGCAGAAAACCTCTTAAAAGACTAGCCCTGTAGTAATTATATTATCCATATAATAGTATTTTATATTATTAGCCAGGTAAGTGAGTTTTTACTGGCGATAGGAGAAGTTGACTAGCGAGCCGTTAGGCGAGCTTGTCATCTCCTAGAGCCAGTAAAAACTATTACCTGGGGTATAACGTACTTACTCATTTGTAAACAATAGTAAACGTAAATAATTAGTTCTTAAATTAATCTTGAAGAAATGTCTAAAATATCACGTTATCCATGTAACAGAGACTTCGCATTAATTCTGGCCAATGAAATTACTAGATTACTAACTTGTAAAATTTTTACAGGTCTGCTGTCAGTTTTACAGGTCTGCTGTCAGATTACAAGTCAGTAGCGTTTAAACATGACGTTTACCCGTTTGCGTTTTGTCTTGTTAATCAACGTTTACAACTGAGTAACAAATAAAGTTGTTGCAGTCAAATACAGCTTATAATACAGTTGAAAAAGTTAGTCATTTGTTTCCCCGTAGTGTTATGCATACGTGTATGAAAATTAAGCTACCCAGTGTCGGATAAATGTTAGTGTGTTGAAGCGCTATTGGTTTCTCGTTAACGCAATGTTGGATTTTCGAAAAGAACAAAACAACGTCGTAGAAGGTTATTGAGTCGCTTATGCCATTTGATTTTAGTATAAATTCCCTATACATACATTTTTTGAGCCCATTAGAAATCTCTGAGGGTTTGTCAACTTAAGAACTTTGTTTGGATTCATTATATAACGATTATACCGCCGTCTGTTCTTTTTTTTATACACCAGGCAGGATAACAACGCCATTATAGACTCAGAAGACTCCCGTTAGTCGCAGTCCCTAGCTTATCATACCGGAAGCAGGAAGGTTACTAGTAAACACGTGCGTCAGTGAGTGAGATTAATTAAACTATTGTTCTGTTCCGAAATGTACTTTCAAATTACAGTGAAAACTCCTTAGTGTCGAATGACTGTATTGCGCTACCGTGTAATGCGTCGCAAAATTTGTATTTCAAAATGTAAATTTATGTACATAGTGCATAGTCCACTGATCGCTTTTTAAACCGACGAGTTGATGCCTTCAGCTCCAGACCAACTGTAGAAGGTATTTCTGGTTGACGAAGATATTAGAAGAACCACCTACCGCCGAGAAACCAAGCATCTTTGCGAAATACATTTTTCTCTACGTGAACAGCACCTACAGAAAGAACTCCCGTTTTGGTGTCCGGTCGTCAGGTAATTTTATTTGCAATTGTGTTAGTAGATTAACTGCATTCCCTTTGAGTTGACTCATTCGCTTGCTAAAAGAAAGGAATAGTTCCCTTCAATTTTTTGCGTAGTAAGCTGCCACGATAGTAGTCGTCACGTAGCGAAAAATTTCCCGTAGTAGTTTTCGACATAATAATGCCTAAGGGCAATCTCAAAGGGTAAATTAATTTATCAAAAAACACACCTGCAAATTTGATACAATTTAAATATCTTATCAACTTAAATAAAGCAATTAGACTTTCCTGTTCGTCTGACCTACATTAACTTATTAAAAAAGACACCATCTGCGGTGTGACCATCAACTTCCGTTGCATTTTGGCGCACCAACCTTTATCATTTCAACGACTTCAGAAGTGAATGAAATTATGATCCGGTTTTAAGAAATAGGCAAGATAATTAGAAACAACGAGACCAGTAAAGCAGATGGTAGACCAAAGAACCGGTGAAGTACCAAGTCTGAACGTGGACATGTCGAGGTTAACTAACGCATGTGATGAAACAGATCATGACAAAATCGGAGCATAGTGGAACAGAGATAATGTTGGAAATACGGGAAGAAATCAACAATACACTTAAGAAATCTTACACAAAGAAGAAATCACAAATCCAAAGAACAACGTTTGAAGGGTCAAGAACACAACATGGTTAAAAGAAAAGGATTGATACCAGGCACAAGATTGCGTCTGAAAAGATTTCAATTAGTAATACTGAAGAGGAATTACGAGAGAAATCATCCCCCACGTATGGTATTGGGTGGGAAAAATAGCGCACTTGCAGCCGCTGGTTCGTGAGGAGCAGCTAGGAAATGCCAATGCGAATCCTACGCGAAAAATATGCTGCTGCGACAAAATAGACCCGGACAAAATAAACCCGACGAAATAGATCAGCCCAAAATAGACCGGCGTCAAAATAGATCAATGCCAAAATAGATCAAAGGTAAAATAGATCAATGTTTTACTTGAAATTTATTGAAATGCTAAGAACAAAGGAACAAACATTAAACTGATTTTAATACATATTTACTAAAAACTAGAACAAAGTGGTGGACATCTATAGATTCAAGTTGTGGGATACTCCTCTAAGAAAGCCTTGAACGTTCGCCAGGTCGTAATCAGAAACCATGGTTTCTAATCTCCTATTCACTTGTAAATATTTGGTCTTCGACGACTCCGGATTCCTGAATCCAGCCAAATGTCTCTCAACTTGAGTTTCTACGTTGGCCTGTTCCCGTCGAAAATGTTCCACCAACCTATATACGGACGGATGATGACAGTCCAAGCCCTTCTGGAATGCGTGGTGCCATCCTTCCACTGAGTTGTTTGTTCTGGGTAGGCGATTCAAGACTGTCGTGGACATTCCACATCACAATAGGGAACTTGGGATCCATGCGCCTATTCCTCCTCATTTGGTGTCCTATATAAGTATCTTCCCAGTAGGAAAGAAGCGGGTCCATTGTTGCAGGAGAACTGTCTATAAGCTCTTCGAAGGCACTCACAACATCCTGCACCGGAACAAAGCTCAACGCCAACACCATTTTCACGTTGGCCCTAAAGTCTGGATCATCCCGGTACTCGCCGGCCAAATGAAGTTCTTGAACTTTCCTCCACAAATTCTGCCCCAGATGGAACAGACATCCATGTAAGGCGACTCCATCAAATACTTGCGACAACGAGTTATGTACCGCCTTTTCGAAGTCGCACACGCAGCTGCGAGGATTTAAGTCAGGTCTCAGCTCAAGAAGTTTCCTGAAGACTCTTGTGTAGGTGACCTCAGTTTTATCTTGTAGGAGAACATATACCATCGGCAATGTAGTCCTGTTGTCGATCAAGGCATGTACGGTGAAGAGTTGGAAGAAGAGCTCAGGTGCGACTTTGAATGTACCGTCGACATGCCAGTTCTGGTGCTGATGGAGAAGCGATAAGTTGGTGGCAGTTCCAAACATCAAAATTCTGTCTTCATCATCGTCACCCGAATCCCACAGCAGAAAATCCATATTCCTCGTTGTTGTCATCAAAGCATCAGGAATACGAATGTCAGCGACGGTTGAAAGAGTGCCATACGGCTGCTGTGATCTCTTCCTGGCGCGCTGAATAGTTCTTCGCAAAGCACGGTGGGTTGGCATCTGGACAGACGCCGCTAATGACAACTGGCTCGTGATATCGTGAACTATCCGCCGTGGAGCCTCCGCAGTAGTAGTCGCTCGTCTTCTCATGTTGAAAATCGATTTCGCAGCGTCGTTCTCTTCTGGGTTCGGTGCATGTCCATGCTCGGTGATAATAGAAACTTCGTTTTCATCGACGATCTTGATACGTCCTTTGCAAGGGACACGTACACACAGCCAAGAAACACTGCCGTCAGAATTCTCCCTTGCTCTTCGATAACGATATCTAGATTGATAAAATAAGTATCAGTAATAGTCATGAAGCAGGAATATGTAGTATAAAAATGATCACTTACCCTTCGTACAAGATGAGGTGTCCACCTTTTTGGGATGCAATCGTCTCCATTCTCGCAGATCTGTAGATGCAGGTACTGTGGTGTGTAGCTCGTTGTTTGCTGAACTACTCAACCAGCATCTTGATATCATTTCTATATAGGCACTGCCCTTTCAACGGTGTACCCTTTCACAATGTTGATTGGTTATTTACGGATAATTAATTAGTCCTAGTTTATTCCTCATTATCAACTCATTAACTTAATCGGTACACCAACTTAATCAATTAAATCCGTAGGTATTTCTAAATTTTATTTGATTTCAATAAATTTCAAGTAAACCATTTATCTATTTTACCTTTGGTCTATTTCGGCATTGTTCTATTTTGACGCCGGTCTATTTTGACGCCGGTCTATTCTGGGCTGGTCTATTTCGTCCGGTTTATTTTGTCGGGTTTATTTTATCCGGGTCTATTTTGTCGTAGACAAGAGCTCGTTAAAATCTTCGCAAAATTCTTGGCGTGAATACACGGACCGGCAACAGAATTCTCAGGATGAGATTAGAGAACCAATACCACAACCCCTAACTGGAATTACGCCGAGATTCCCTATTGAAGGGTTTAAATACCGACCCTCCAACACTCAATTACCATTCTTCGGTTAGAATCATCACCAGGAATAAGCAGATTGAGGCCTGGTGCAACTTCCACCCCCCGAGACACGTTGAGTTCACCCACATTGCTCATTAATTTAGAAGAGTCGGCTATCACTTCACAATCATGACTGTCGGTCTTAAAAATGCGCCGGCCACATTCTAGAAAATGAAGACGCAGGAGGTTCTCTCGGGGTGTGTCTACGCACATAGTATACTTCGATGATATTTATGGCTCAGTAGTAGAGCGTTGGGCTATGAATCCGGAGGTCGGGTGCTCGAACCTGGGTTTAGGTGAATTTTTCATCTCTAGCAGAGATGGGAATTTCCTTAGATCAGTTTCGAGAATTCTGCCAGCTACTCCGAATTAGGTTTTCCTGCAGTTTTCCTAAATCGTAAGGTAAATACCAGAGTAGTATAGAACAACTTAAGACCTTCTAGAGAGGCACCTCTAAAAAGCTTTATGCGGGTCACTTTGTAATTGGCCGCAAGCCTGTTGAGGGCCCAGAACAAGATAAGGATAATAAATAAATAAATCAATTATCGTATACTGCAAATTGGGCGAAGAACGCCTACATCGTTTAAGGTTGGTATTTGAAAGGCTGCTACAGCACAGATTTGAGATTTCCGCCGACGAGTGCAAATGTGGAGCAAAATCAATCAAATACCTCGCCACGTAATGACACCTGGGGGATATGAGCCACGCCAGGAGCACCTCCAACCACTCAAAACCGCAGAACGTCCAAGAACAGCGATTCACGTGGTAGCAAAGATGCGGAGGAGGCATTCGAGAAACTTAAAGAAGCCCTCGTACGGCCACTGCCGCTTCACAGGCTGGATTTCGGGAAACGTTTCTTCCTCCCAGACAGACGCAAGTCAGAGGAGGCGGGCGAAAAAGGGGAATATCAAACATTTTACTTAAATTTAATATAAATATAAGTAATAAAACTACAATTTAGTGGTTTGTTGCAGGAGCAGAAGAAAGGTCGGTCCCTACAAAATCTAGTAAAACAAGAATATGAAAATTTGTTTGGCGATGAATGAATAGGGAGTATATCACAAACAAAGTCTTAAAAGCATAGATCATGCTGGCTTATATTAAGGAAATATTAAAGGCATTTAAATCTTTTATCTTTTGGTGTATTCATTCAAAGTTTCAAACAATGCTGCGATTAAAAATTGGAACAGATTTGACTGCATACTCTAAATTACATGCGTATGTAAATGCTTCAAACGTTTACAGAAAGCGCTTTATGAAATTTTTTATTTCAGTCCCAGACGACGTGATACGTCATAATTGAAGTACAGTTACTCAGAAACCTTTAAAATACGACGTGCTTTAATCATCTGTTTTTGCACACAGAGTTTTGCAGAGACACAGGGTAATGGTTCCTATTATAACATTAATATAATTATGCGATTCATACATTGAACTACATTTTCAGATTTAAATTTGAAGATTTCAGTAGACATCATTAACTAAACAAGCAGATCTGCGAGCTGTGACAGATATTTCAGTCCGCCCAACCGATGATTAGATGACGGAACGCATCCCTGCTGCGGTGCCTTCTACAAATCACTCTGTCTAATATTTACTTTACTTATTAAAATCCCTTAGTTGCTTGAAGGCAGCTCCTTAATATTGGGTTCTCATATGTTCCAAGAATGTACCGTTTTCAGAAGAAAACTGTTCGACGGAGATTTCTAACATGTTTTGTCGCAATAAAGGACGAACGTGTGTGTAATGAAACAGCTGTAACAACACACCCTCTCCACAGGACCAGTTTTGAGGCACAGTTTTCAATGTGTATAAAGCTAAGCAAATTGCTTAAAACTTATGGAAGCACCCTAAGGTAATGAGTTTTTCTTTTAATTAATTAAAGTTAATTCCACCACACTTAAATCGGCTTAGGCCGCACTACTTCGAGAACGCTTCATTAACTTCTAACCTCCTTTTGTAGTTTGCTATCTATTTCTTTAGAGACGAAATTCCATTCGCTTTTCTAGTGTATTGGAAAAATTGCTGGAAAGATACTCGACTTTTTACAACAAAGCTTATTTACTCACTCAATAGCTAAGCAAGTCTTTGTAGTTGAAATGTGTATTGAAACGTATCAGTTTCAAAGCTAACCGAACTGGCACAAACCTCTGTGGCTGCGGTTTGCAACCTTATGGTGGTACCTACCCCTACATTATTCTGTATCACGCCACAAAGCGACGAAACTATTCACAAGCCGTAAAACTCGACCCAATTGTTACATAATTTTTTACCTCCCTCTGAACTGAGATTGTGGCCACTCTAAAAATCGATGTCCGCGTGCACTACAATGGTCACGCCGTTTTAACATTGTGGTCAGAAACGGCCCACCAGGGATACGCGGCCCTATAAAACATCTATGAAGATAGTCGGCGGCCCAAGGCGGTAGGGGCCGATCTCATAAATAAAAACCCCCGGACGCTATAAAATGCAACCTTGTATATTTACAGCGATACGAAAGGCGCGATTGTACCTGAACACTTCAAACGTAAAATAACTCTTGACCTTTTTCCATCAAAATACGTATAAAAAGAAGCTCGGAAGGGCGTACGTATTTTTAAGATTTGTTCAAAACCGAAGGGTTTGATTTTCCATTCGACGCACGAAAATAAAAAGCCAACACATATTTCGAAATTCATTTTTAATGAATGTAAACAACCTGGGCCGTTCTGATAAATTTTGTTTTTCTTTTAATTATTGTCGAAAAATACATTTTCCTCTCGAACAGCATACAATAATGGATGAAATTGATGCAAATTTTAAATTCGCACATATGCCGTTCGGTATGCGCAATGCCCCCATAGCTTGCCATGATGCTTCCAATATGAATTTTCTTAACTGTGGGCATAATGAGAATTCGCAAAAAATGTGAGAAGTTCTCTTGTATTGCATCCTTCAAAGAAGATGTGTTTGCCAGGTTCATACCATACAAACGTTTTACAATGTACCGGGTGACCCAATAAGACTGCTCTTCGGCCATATCTTATTTTCTCTAAATATTGTTTGTTGAGCTTTAGTTCCGTATAAATTTGGACACGCTGGCAAAAGTAAATGAATTTGGATAATAAAATAGTTAATAACACGTTGTCTTTGCGATAAAACAAGTACGGCAAAATTAGTAGATTTTTAAGAAAAAGTAGAAGTGGTTTGCGATAACGCTTGTTTATAAAAGGAAGTTTTTAGAACAACTATGGAACGCACTGCGACGCCCCGTGACGCTAGATTCAGAAAATTGAGATTCCCAACCATTTACGGTGGGAGAGTGTTTAAGATTGGTCAGTTCTATCCGAGGTTCTATCACCGCTTCGATGCAGAAATCTACGTCGTCGTAGTTTTGTAAAATTAATAACAGCGCCAGTCATTTTCTCGCAATGCAATTGAAGGTCGACCTACATCCTTCTTTTTTTAGTTAAGTCTACATTCCGCCAAAACCAGTGTAAAAGACTTTTTTATTGTGGTCTGTGCTGTTTGCTAAACATTAAATTTGTTATGGTTAGATTTAATTTAAGTAGTGTTGGGAAAAGTTAGATTGTAATTTTAAATGTAAAGTTTGCCACGTGTATTTATAAACCCAGTACAGCGACATCTTGCAAGAATGGCGCACGTGCATTGTATGCACCATTGAAAAGTTGAATTAGGTGCATGTCTTTTTGTTTTTGTCTGCCGTTCTCGACAACAGAACGTGGAAATTACCCTATCACTTTAGAAGGGATCTGAGTGTAGTGCTAAAAGTTTAATTGAATTAACGTAGCTTTTAGTTTAGCTCAGTTTCGGCCAGAGGAAATAGTTACTCAGTTATTGACATGAAGATTCAAATTTATTATTGAATATCTGGTGATAAATAATGGCGTGACCGTAATTTAAAGATTTATTGTTTATTCAAATGTAGATAGAGGGAAATTACGTAATTCACGATTAAAAGCTTCATATAAATCTAACGGGGTCAGATTACTGCTGATAGATCATTAATCATGTTCGTTTTGCTGTATTTTTCGATTTCCATCGTACATTTTATTTTAGTATTACATATCGGTATTGATGTAGGTGCCCAATAAAATCTTATCCGTACAATATGCGTTAATAAGCGTAGGTAAATTGCATTACTTGAACCAATTTATTTATTTTTTTTATATTTTTATTTTGCTTATGTTGAAGTTATCCTAATATGTGGTGAAAGGTTTAGACATTTTTTTAAGTTTTAAACAATTTTGTAACTAACCGCTGTCGAGTGCGTGTTTTATATTTATTTTATAGCAGATGTTAAATATAGGTTTGAATGAGTAGGAAAGGTAGATAAAGTGAAACAAATCATTGTGCATTCCAATTACATCTGTCATTCGTATTAAAAATGAGACGCGGAGCACGAAATAAAATGAATTTCAAAA